GAGAGAACCAGATGCTTCAATAACGCTTAGATGAGCAGGAGCAACAACAAAGGATGTCTGAGTTGGAGTCACAAGTGAAAGTTATGCAAGATCTTTTTTTAGGCAATCACCTTCATTGACTCCTCAAACTCGAGAACATGTGCAGGACTAGGTAATTATTTTTTGTAAAATCTTTTATATACTTTTATGATTGACTACTTGCACTAAAAAATATAATTTTTACTTAATAAGATAATATTTGCTTAATTGATATTTCTTAATTATGTTTTTTTTTTTAAATTTCAGGCTATCCATGCAAGATTAGAAGGGGGTAGCTCGAGTCTTCTTTTGATGATGATTAGAGATGAAAGAACGTGTCTTCCCCAAACTTTTATTTTAATTTGTTTTAGATAGTTTCATGTATTTTTCTTTGGAACAATTAGGATATTAACTCTTGTTATTAGTATTTAATATTTGAGGATGGTGGGATTTTATTTATTGATGTTATTAATGAATGGAATTTTTATTTTCCCTCTTATTCATTATTGGGTATTTTTAATATATTTTTGTTGTGAATCTTAGTGTCAAGTTGAGAATAATATGATAGTTGCCTATGAATTAAAAATTATTATTAATGTATATTAGAAATTTGTAGTCTACAATGACGATTTTATAAATCGTATTTTGTTCATCAACGAAGGGAAAGTACTGTCGTTGATGGGTTACTAATTATCCATTATGATGACTTTTACGATGGTATCCAACCGTTATTAATTAGTCTTCAACGATGGGAAAACATCTCCGTAACTAATGGTAACGACGGGAAAATATCCCCGTAACTAATGATAACGACGGGAAAATATCCCGTCACTGATAGTAACGACGGGAAAATATTCCCGTCACTGATGGTAACGACGGTGATAATTACCGTCGTAAATATTAATGACGGTAATATGTTCCGTCGTTATAGACTCTATAACGACGGGTAGTATATCCCTTCGTGACCCTTTAGCGAAGAGGGCTTCAACAACGGGTGACGAAGGGATTTTTCCCCGTCGTTAGCATACAATAACGAAGGTTTTCAGCTCTTTAACGAAGAAAAATCCCTTCGTTAAAGATGTAATTTCTTGTAGTGAGATCAGCTCTAAGGAGACTGATCCGGAGAAGGCATTTGGGGAGAGTGGTGTTGGAATTAAGAATTTTAGAGAGTCTACCTCTTTCATTCATTAACATGGGTTTATATAAGAGTACATATGGGTAATAGGCTAATAGGTTAATGAGCCCTGACCCGATAACCCAAATACTAATTCTAATACTCCCCCTCAAGCTAGAGCATATATATCAACCATGTCCAGCTTGTTACATAGAATGAAAAACACTTTAGATGATGTAGCTTTAGTGAGAATGTCAGCTAACTGTTCTAAAGATGGAGTAAACTGAAGAGAGATCACTTTCTTTTCCCAAGCATCTCTAACAAAATTACAAACAACTTCAATGTGCTTAGTTCTCTCATGAAATACTAGATTCTTTGTAATATAGATAGCGGACTTGTTATCACAATGCATAAGCATAGGTCCAAGCTGAGTAAAACCAAGCTCTGTCAACAGCTTCTGCAACCATATCATCTCACATGCAGTGTGAGCCATAGCTATGTATTCTGCCTCTGCACTAGATCGAGAAACACCATCTGGCCAATTAGAGAGACCCGATGATGTTGCAATGGCCAATTAGAGAGAGGGAGAGAGATGGTGTAGATTCTGTTGTCAAAAAGATTAAAGAATTTGGCACTAGTGTTGATTCTCAATTGCACGGTGCATTAGCGAAGGAGGTTGGGGCTTTGGACAATATTCCCTCATTTTGATGATTGAATTCCACAAGACGCAGGCGGCACCAAAACAAAGGTAGACAGTCAATTGCAGCTTTTCTATGATCTGACCGAGGAGATGATCCGAAAGCTCTGACTAAGATTTCATATTTGGAGATTCAATTATTTATTGTTTAGGGAAATTAGGGGCGTACATAAGTAAGGAAAGGAGAGGAAATTTTTGAGTTATATCTTGATAACTAGTGCGAATTTATTAGGAATAGAGTAATGGTTAAAAACTCTTATTCAGTTGTGATGGAGATGGAATCAAATCTAATCAAATAGAAGGTAGAGAATTCATGGAAGCACATATCATAGGCAAGATATTTATGTAATTATCTATTGATCTATTTGATCTCGACATTCAGGTTCTATCACTTGTTATGTAGGAATTTGAAAGTGATATTTTTCTCAATATTTATCTATATACGATGGACTTGCATTGTAGCTGCTACAGTGTAAGTCCCTTAGTTATAATTATCTAAGTGCGTAGAATAAAGTCTTTGCGTTTTAAACCTAAACTTTTCCCTTTCAAAGTTACTCATGGCCAAGATGCTACATCACTCACATTAAGAAAATAATATAATGTACAGGAAAGTTTTCTATAAGTCCAAGGTTTTACTTCATATATTTTATTATATCTATACACTAAAGACAAATGAGTTGCACTATTAGAATTTTTTATAAACCCAAAGGCTTATCGCAATTTACTTTCAAACCCATCCAATTAAAAGAAATTCTCTTTAAACCCAAAATGTTACTACAATTTATTTTTAAACCCCTAACTTCCAAAATGACTTTTAGACCCAAAATACTATACTGAATTATTTTTAAACTTTGAATTTAAGTATTTTAGTATATGATATAAGTTTGTTATATTTTGTTGTAGCTTGCTATTTTTTGTTGTAAGTTATTAGGTGTACATTGTACTTTTAAATGAGACGCTTTAACTTTATTTTCACACTAAAGTTTGTAGCATCAGCAATTTTCCCATACACTCAAATCAACATAAATCCATTTTGTATTTCAGCATTTTGGCATGTAGTGTAAGTTGTTATATTTTATTTTGACTCGTTATATCTTATTTAAGTTGTTAGGCATACACTATAATCTTAAATTAAATGCTTAAACCATTCTTTTGGATTTTTCACGTCATTCTCACGACATCACAAACTGATGATATTAGCCTATAAACCTAAAGTTCTAAAATTATTTTTAAAACAAAATATTCAACCAAATTATTTTTAAATCCAATTAGTATTTCAGCAGTTTGATATACGGTGTAAGTCATTATATTTTTGTTGTAAAGTTGTTAGCTATGTAGTGTATTTTAAATTCAAATACTTACATGTTTTGGCATTTTCACCACGATACTGCGGCATCACGCGGTTCAATTCCGTTTTTGTGTGTGTATTAAGTTGGGCAAAGCAACTAGAAGTCAAAATGTCCTAGTGGTGAAATAAATAGGCTACAAATTAGAGGTATGGGGTTCACTTCGCTTAGTGCCCAACGTATTGTCTTTTTTTTACCCAAACCCAAAGTTTTAACTAAATTAATTTTTAAACTCACCCACTTCCAAAGTTGGATTTTTTGTCTATAAACACAAAGTGTTATCCCCATTAAATTTAACCCACAAACTTTCAAAGTTATACTAGAAATTTTTTTCTAGAAACCCAAAGGTCGCCCCCAAATTATTTTTGAACCTGCCCATTTCTAAAAAGTCTTCTACCTCTAAACCCATTGTTTTCTCTCTAATTATTTTTATGCCTAACCACTACTAAAAAGTTGTTTTTGTCATCAAATCCAAAGTTTTATCCCTTTTTTGACTATCTACTTCTAAAACCACTACTAGACTTAAAACACCTCATATAATTAATTATAGACCAACTATAATCTTTGAGCTCACCTATTTCCAAGGAGTATTTTGCCAATACACCCAAAATTTTGTCCCCATTTGACTTTAAACCTGCCCACTTCCAAATAGAACTTTTTTGCATACAAACCAAAAAATTTGCCCTCATTTATTTTTAAACCCACCCATTTCCAATATCACTACTAAGCTTAAAAAACTCCAATTTTTTTTCAAAAAACCCACATTTAATTTTAGGGATTTCGTATGCGGTGTAAGTTGATAAAATATTGTAACTTGCTATATTTTTGTTCTAAGTGATTAAGTATGTGGTGTACTTTTATATAAAATATTTAAACTATTATTTTAGTGGCTTTTGCCATATAAATGGTGCATCATCACAAATTGTAGATTGATTTTTTGCTTTCAAACTCAAGGTTTTATTCAAACTTATTTTTAAACTCACTCGCTTCAAAAAAGAGTGATATGTCAATAAACCAACCCTGCTTCATTTTTAAACCCGCTCGCTTCCAAAATCACTCTTAGATCTTAACTAGTTAATCATATTAAATTTTAATTCTCTTCATATTCAGCTGTTTAGATACGGTGTAAGTTGCTATAGCCTAGTGTAATTTGCTATTTTCTTCTCTAAAGAATTAAGTGTCCAATGTATTTTTAAATCAAATGCATAAACCATGATTTATTGTAAAAAAAAAATTTAAAGTGATGCTGCCGCATCGCGCTAGTCAAATTTGCTCGTTTATATCCTAAAATGACAGCTCTTGTATCTAGAATCATAAACAGTCTGGCCCTAACTCTTACATGTAGGTATCCTTCCCTTGGAGAATCAACAAAAAGAACACATAAAAAATAGGAAACAAGAATAAGTGTCATACTAATACGTCAAGCATGTTTATTGTTGATTATTCCTAATAATCCAATTACAACTCGAATAGTCAACCCCCTTACCCACACCAAAATGATAGGCCTCAAAAAAGTAAATGTGGAAAACATTAACAAACAAATGAATCTAATTACAAAAAAAATTGTTTTAACAGTAAGTAAAAAATCATTGACAAATCATCATTGCACATCATTGGCGTATCTTGTAGGTTGTGACTTGTGAGTAAAAGCACTAAACATAATAATATAATGCAATGACAAGCAAGGTGTTACACTAGTGATCATAGAAGCATTCATCTCAAGGGAGACTGTTAGCTTATCATCAACAGCATCAATCACAGACACTAAACAAGAAAAAGGGAAATATATACTCTAAAAGAGTATATTCGAATATTAGAAACTTACGCTTCAAATATGCATCAAATAGGTTCCCAGTGACACCTTCAACAATATCATCAGTTGGCAAAATATGCAATCGCTTCACATACTTAACGTCCTAGCATTGATGGACAGAGAGCACATCCCCAAGCCTCACCCGCAGGTTTGATCTCACCACTTTGTTCATCCTAATCTTGGGTTCTTCACATGTTTCATCAGCAAGTGCAATGCATATGGTATCCCCTTCCTCTTACCCTAAACATGTAACAGAAGATAAACACGATCAAATGAAAACCTAAAGAAACAAAGCAGGCGGGACAATTAACAAATTTCTTAACTCATCCTACTCGTGTAAGCTATAATTGTAGAAACTATAAAGTGAGTGCAATTACATGCATTATATTGATACTAAATCGTTAAGCTCACATTGCATTGAGATATAATACACAGATTATGAATTTCATCAAGGATATAAATCCCAAATAGACAAGGCTTAGTAATACAACCCTAGCACCTATTTTAACACCCTCTTATCCTAAAATTACTCAAGTTTTTGAGGAAAATCATAACGACACCTATCGAATCACTAATCTCACATGGAGTTCATCATGTTCTCTAAACCACATAGATCAAAATTTTAGGTTGTCAATTTGTAGATCCCCTTAAAACAGATATCTTTTATTCTTTCTAACAAACGTTTGCCGAAAGTATAGTGCAATTTATCCCAACGCCTCGTTCGGTACGCGGGAATAGGTGGGAATGGAATGTCATTCAAGCCTACCAAAATGACGCCTTTTAAGAAGCTATAATGCCTGTTCCCACTTCATTGATTCCCACGTAATGTGGAAATGAACAGTCCTGATGAGATGGTACAGAAAAGGTATTTTCACTTAGGTGCTGTTTGGATGGCTAAAAAAACAAGAAATTGTATTTGGTTCACTTCTTAAAACTAAGAAAAGTGATGAGATGAGATGAGTTATCACCGTATTATTGGATGATATTATTGGATGATGTGGCTCATTTTTAAAGAAACTTATTTCATGACTTTTTTAAGGAAATAGATGGAAGTTAATTTTTATTGGTTTCCTTATTCTATTTTTTCTTTGATTTTAGGAAATCAACCAAACAGGGCATTAAGTGGGAATAAAAATTTTGAAATAATGTGTTGTCCACAAAAATAAAAGAATATTGTCATTGCCGCTTCATTCTATAATCTTATCCAAAAGTGAGAATGCTAATGAGCGTTCCATTCCTACACTTAGTAACATTCCATTCCGTACCAAACACGACGTAATTATCTCACTCCCAAAATTCGAAACCCTAATTCTGACATAATCCAAGAAAAACTTAATTAAAAAAACCCCTAACTTCCTCCAAGCCCATCAGCAAACCCTAAACTAAAACAGTATTCGCTACCTTCAAGAGAACCGTATCCCCTCGAAACAGCTGAAGCTTCTCCATTGTATCAGGATACATCGAAACCACCGAATTATCATCACTGACCGCTTCATCGACGACCAATTGATTCGGAGCTTTCTTTCTCTCGAGGATGGCAGTACTGAAGTCCTTCTTCGAAATCTTACTGCAAATAAAACAAGAATAATCAGATCAGAGTCCCGTCATAAAAATCTAATTTTAGAGGGGATAATAGGAAATAGAACTCACGGATCTGAAGAAGATCCTTCTCCTTGAGCAGCCATTGAAGAATTTGATCGAAGAAAAGATCTCGATGTCGGAGAGAGGAGAGAGAGAGAGGGATTACATAGAGGGGGTGAGGATAGGCGAAGCGGGGTGGATTCGCAGTTGAAATCCTGAAACTCGGAAACGGATCCGGTTTATCCAGAACCTTCTATTGATAACCCGACTCCGATCGGAACCGAGTGTTTCGGGCTAAGGGGCTGTTTGGTTGTTGTTGGTAAAGTTGTGTATTTATGACACAACTTGGAAAGTTGTTGTCCACCTCATCAATTTTACTTTTATATATTTTTTTTATTCCATTAGAATCATAAATTGCTTGTTTGGTTTGTAAATATAACTTTAATTGTTTGTTTGGAAAGTGTAAAAAGTGGTCCCTACTCAAATGATCATATTGGTTGGAATTATTTTTTCTTAACTTCAATGTTAGCTTTCTCATAAAATCATGTCTTTTTTTCATGAAATCACTTTACAAGTCACATCATGGTAAAGTTGTGTATTTATGACACAACTTGGAAAGTTGTTGTCCACCTCATCAATTTTACTTTTATATATTTTTTTTATTCCATTAGAATCATAAATTGCTTGTTTGGTTTGTAAATATAACTTTAATTGTTTGTTTGGAAAGTGTAAAAAGTGGTCCCTACTCAAATGATCATATTGGTTGAAATTATTTATTATTATTTTTTCCTGACTTCAATGTCAGCTTTCTCCTAAAATCATGTCTTTTTTTTATGAAATCACTTTACAAGCCACATCAGCATATGAAATTACTTTACACTATTTTCATAACTACAAACAAACAATTGAAAGTGATGAAAGTTAACATTGGGACCCACTTTTTTACACTTTCCATCCATTTACATGGTAAAAACATACAACCAAACAGCCCCTAATTTCACCAACTTGAGGTGTCTCGCAAAGCCTCTATAAACTTTACCTTTTCTTATCTAGTCCTCCTTCCTATAACTTGCAAATAACTAATAATACCTTGAGGTGAAAAACATATATTGGGGAGGGAGGATATTGCATGTAAATAACAAGTGACATGGTTTGAAAAAATTTCACCAAATGATATTTTAGTTATTTCAAGTTATAGGTAGGGAGGCTAGGTAAGATAAGATAAATTTTAGGGGAATTTTATGAGACACACCATAGTTTGGGGGTTATGTGAGATAAGCAAAATTTAGGGGGTGCCGTGCAACAACCCTCAAAGTTCAGAGGGGGTTTTGTGAAATTAACCCCATTTCAACCATCAGAATTTGAACCCTAAAACTGTATTTAAGACCGATTACGATGGGAATGAAAAATAGGCTTAATACTCCATTAAAAAAGGATTTTTTTTCAAAAGAGCCCATTTTGCTAAATAATTAGCAAAACCGACCGTTTTATTAATTATTTAGTAAAACCAAGGTCGGTTTTGCAAAAAACATATCTGAAACATATGTGACTAGTAGTCTCATATGTTTAGTGGCCACTAAAGTGACCTTAGAAAACCCATGGGACTATGGTTTGTTGCTCCCCCATACAAAACGCACGGGACTACTAGTCTCGTGTGTTAAGTAGAAAATCGGCCTAACGTAGAGCTTCTCGCCCAGCAAATTCACGGGACTAGTAGTCCTGTGGATTTGCTGGGCACAGTCCAAACATGCACAAAACATGCACGGGGCCGTATCGCTTCATATACATTGTTTGGCAAACCTATTTAGGCTAAAAAAATATAACATCCACTTCATATAATTGTTATACAATATAATATTTATATACTTATAAATTTTAAGAAATAAAAACTGGATAAAAACACATTTAACGAATCCACAACATCATAACACAATAGCTACGTCATATATATATCCATATGACAAAATAGTCCAAACAAATCTAAATATATCAAGTCTATCAAGTCTATCCATACGACAAATTTAGTCTAAGCAAAAAAACTAATAAACTATCACATGCAACCTAAAAATCTGCCCCTCCCCTGTTATCTCCCTCTTCGTAACCACTCTGATCATCGATGTCCTCCTTCGACTTGAGCTTGTACGTGCTCGCTCTCCGGTTGTGTGTGGGGCTGTGACGGACCAACTTCATTATCATGCGAGCAAGATTCACCTCGTCTTTATTGGCACGCATATCTCTCCTCATGCGCCATCTGCTCGCGACCATTGTGTCGATCATCAAGAGTTCGATGAAGAGCTTTACGAATGCTCCCCACTATCCGCTATAATACCGATACATGTAATGGATCTCCTCTTGCAATAGCTATGCATTCATTTGCAAGCCCCGCTATCTCATCCATAGTGTCTATCTGCATACATGTAAAAAGATATAATTATATATATAAGCAACCAAAAGCTAATGGATTAAAAAAAACTATTTAAATTTACGCATTTTCCTTACCCATTCTCTTTCATCTACACCCCTTGGTACGTATCTTGCTTGTTGGGAATGTATCTCGATTTCGTCGATTAGAGGCATGGTTTGAGTGATTATCCATCTTCTGGTAATCCCTTAATACCATCTTATATAATCAATTTCCTCCATCGGAGGATAAATCTGCTTGATGATGCTCAAATGTCACTCATTCCATCTAGCAATGTACTAATTATGCACAAGTGGACAGTCAATATGATGCCCGCCCTTGGACGCCTTTCTTTCTATTATTTCTACTAATTTTCGAGTGTGTTGTGCGAAACCAAACTACCTAAGCACGCGGTCCAACACATGCATCTCCACAATTTCAAAACAAATGAGAAGAATGCTAGCTCTCCATATACCTTGTCCCTTCATGCAAATCAGTGGTAGACGAGGTAGAAAAGTATCATATGGCTGCCACTCGAACTACAACATATAAATTATCATTAGTAACTAGCTTAAATTGACTTAAATTCAAAATTTTGATACATGATAAATTTTCATACGGTCGAGCTCTCCTCTGTAAAAATCTAACTATCTTGATGGGGCCTCATCATATGCTTTAGTGATGTTCCATCTGCGTGTATGATAGAACGTTAGAAACTAATTCCAAAGTTAAAATTCAAAATTAAATTTTCTTTAATTAGATTCGAAATTGTTTACCTGCTACCCAGTGGAATCTATCCATCTAAAACTCGTGTCTTGCATAATCTTGGTCTCAAAACCAATCTCTCTCATGCTTAATCTTGTAATAATGTCAAGCACCCCTTGAGCTCTTTATTTTGCATAAAAGCAACCTTCGACATTTTCCTATACATATATGCTAAAATAGCACTACACCATGATAATGTCCCACACCTGTCGAAGTCGCAAAAAAGTATTAACCACCTATCACATGGCAAATGCATTTAGTCGTATTTTATGAATAATGAGTAAAAATCTAGCAAAAACGATCAATATAGTGCATTATATGAATAACAAGTTGTCTAACCTCAAATGTACTTTATGTTAACTTGAATCGGGGAAAAGAAGCATCCCGATCATGTGCAAAGTATATGCATGAGTATGTTGCTGGATCATGACCTGGGATTCATCTTTTGGCAAGGGGTTTGTGAAATTTTCTTTTAGCCACTTCAATCTAATATATCCCGGGCAAGGACTCTGGAAATAGTCTTAACAACTCATCAAAAATTTGGTGCCACACATGTTTATCGGTCTTCGTAACACAAGGGCCATTAATACGGAGACCAGGGATCACTACTACGTCTTGGAGCATAATAGTCGTCTTGCCAACACGTAGATAAAAAGTGTTAGTCTCTAGCCTCCATCTATCCATCAATGCATTAAGTAGTAGTCAATCAAGTTTCATCCACCGTAACTTTGAGCATGTGAGAAAACCTGCTTGGGCTACTAAAGCAATCATACATGGATCTTCAAGCGGCCACTGCGTATGTTCGAGTCTATGATTAATCATAACTAGATCTGGTCCTCGCTACATAATAATGAAAATATATATATTAGCAGTTACTCAATAAGTAAGTAATATGTGACTATAAATTCAAAAAAATTATGATTAAAAATATAAGAATTATTACCGAATTACCGATATAAATGATATATTCTCTAAATGGCATCGTGACTGATCAAAGAGGACTTCATCACTTACCAACCCGGAAAGCATAGTGTATATATATGCACATATAGTTGTTAACTTATTAGTTCCTGCAGAATCAATAAGACTATAATAATGAATAAGCCTATAACGATAATGAAAATAGAGATAGAAAATATATTACCAATTAATTGCTATGTACTTGTTCTTGATAGACAACAAGACCTATTATGGCCTAATTGATTATATTGTCCATATAATTCACAACATTACTCCTTCCTAGCCTTGGCCCATGGTACCTCTAATATGCACAGATCGAGATCGTCTCGCTTGTCTTTTGTATTGAGGTGGTAATATGCATGGTCCATTATAAACATGCCAATAACGACTATCGTCGGGAGAATGAAAACTCTCCTTATAATCCTTTCGATAATGATTTGTTGAATACCAAGATGAGTAATACTGATCATAAGGCAATCTGCCACCACCATCCTAATTGGAACTAGCCTCTAAAATATATTCACATGGTGGTTTTTGTAATAGTGATATATTATAAGTACAACTGCACTCCTGGTCATAGAGATAGATGGTGTAAGTAGTTTCACAATCTTTAACCTCCCATTCATTATCGTTGAATGGATTAATTCTACATGATCTTACGGTCATAATCCTTTTCTACAAAGTACTCTCATTTTTTGGAGTGTAACTTGTCATCTAATTTGCACCATCACTACATCTCTTATTAAAGTATGCTTTCAATCTATAAAACGTCATTGCAACCAATGCTTGAATTGACATAGCACGGGCACCCTTGAGTACGTCATTAAAACTTTTAGAGCAATTAGTTGTCATCATATAATAGCGCAATCCGTCATCTTTACAAAATGGCCATCGATCTTCGTATTGCAGCTTCAAGTTTTCTTCAATCTAGTTATGTACTTCAACTGATAGGGATTTAATTTTCTCCCTATATTACTCATATACTAGTGTGTTAGCTGCACACCCAGCTTACCACAATAGATTTTGTAAATTGACATCTCCATGTTTTTTCTTAAAATTATCTCTTATATGCCGTA